TTTCGTTTTTCATCCACCATCCCACCCTGACCGAAACCCCCCTCCCCCCCTCCCTCCTCCCCGGTGCCCACCGCCCCCACCCCAACCCCACTTAAGTTTTTTTTGTATTTCTAATTTCTTGTTTTTTTATTTTTGCACCAACACCTAACCCCCCCCCCCCCCCCCCCCAAAAAAAAGAATATTTTTTTATACTTTCAGTTCTAGTTTTTCCAATTTACAGGTTCAAAATTTTACGAGTTCCAATGAGTTAGAAGATTTATTTGTTTGAAAGTTTGCGGGTTTAGAAATTATGGAGTTTACGGGTTCGAAAGTTTATGAAATTTGTGGGTTCGGAAGATTGTTGGTTCGAAAGTTTATAGCTCCATGTTTATTGTATCTAAATTATTTATGAATACTCTTGAAAGTTATTTTCCTTAATTTGGGTACCAAACACCGAAATATAAGTAAGATTACTACTTGTTTTCCAAAAAAACATTTTCCACCGTTTACCAAACACACCCTAAATTTCCAAATGATCGTCAACACGCCAAAGAAAACTATGAACCACGGGACAGTTGATTTGTTCCTATTCATTCCATCACCTTATGAGATACTTCTATATATCTGTGCTTGGTTTTGGTTTTTTGTCAGCAACCTTTCTTGACCTTTGATACATTATCCGGGAGACCACCTCCACTTATAACTTGAGACCTGGAGAGTCGGGAAGATGACTATTGTTTTGTCATCAGGACCTTCCACTCAATTGATTTGTGCAATTCTTTTCTTCGCCACTCACGAAATACATGTCATCATGTTACTTTTTGCGTAGAAGAAATCCCAGCTCATAACCGGCATTTTTAATTACTTCACCGTATTTCATCTCATCCATCTAAAAAGCTTGACAGTTTGGACTGAAATTGATTAGCTAATCTTCAACTCAAACGTTTTGACTTCTTCACGAATTACAAGTCCTCCGGACCATTCAATCACAAAGAAAATACTGCCACCAGCTATACAGTTTATTCTAATGCATTACTCTGATTTTGAGCATCAACAACCATATAATAACCCTTGAACAATAATCAAGATGGATCTGAATATTATCCTCTCTAGCACTATCATGGGCTAGCTTGCTGATCCATATCCTTGTTCATCAATCATCAACACAGTCCGATAATGACTAATCTTTAAACACCACTAAGGAGGGTAAGTCATCAAACAAAAAAAACCAGAAAACCGCGAGATTGAAATGGAAATGCATGCAAATACCAATAGCTTCCAACCGACCACATTTAAAGGTTATCTCTGGGTTAAATAGTCGAACAACAAGAAGGAAATAATTTGTGGGAGAGGGTAGGGGGTTGACAAAACTATGTATAAAGACAATTCTAATGGGGTCTAAACAGACTGGGAGACGAACAGTAAAAATAGGATAACTTGGTTATGCTTTTCTAGTTCACACCTCTCCAGCACTCGAATAGCATAGAACCCACAAGGATATGGAACTTATGTGCCGTGGGCCAAGAAAGGGAAGCTACACAACAGACCCATCCAAGCTCCATATCACTCCTCAAACTCGTGCATGTGATCTAAGAGGTAATTAGCAGCGAGCTCCTCATTTTTATTGCAGGCAAAGAAAACTTCTAGTACAAGGTCATGATCAAAGCCCATTTGCTCAAGCTGCAAAAAGAGGGAAACACAAGACAAACAATCAGTCCTCAGCGGAAGGAAGGATATAGATAAGATTATATGCAACCGCCCTGTTATACTCACACGTTCTATGGCTTCACGCTCTTCAGGTGTTACTTGTATAGCCTGTGGCATTGCTGTTGCAAGCTGGCCCAGTATGTTGCTGATACCAAAGAGTGCACACGAATTAGTACAAAATGTAATATTATGAGAGAATCAGTAGAAGAGTGACTGAACATACCCTTCTCCTCCCTCAACAGGCTCATTGATAAGACGAAGGAAATCAGCCTGGTGCTCCTGTATAAGCCTCATTAGCTGAGGATTCTGCTTCCCTAACTCCTGAAGCATGGGCTGCCAACAATTGAAAGAATGAAAAGGGAAGCCACCCATAATGTTCACAGATAAGCCAAAACTAGAACAAACTCAAAAGACAGTTTATATCCGTAAGGAATGAACCTGCAAAATTTGTGGGTTGGCCTGAACCATTGCTCGTAAAGCTTGGAACTGACAATGACAACCATTCAGATTAACTTCACTAAAATGGATTTTCCATAATGAGAGAGAGGAAGGGTAACGATGCAGGTGCTAAAGGACAGGAAATGTTAACACGCTTACCTGCTGACTGTTCCTTAGAAAGTCTAAGGTGTTCGCACCACCAGTATTAGATCCCATGCTCGGAAGACCCTGTGTGAACAATGGGTTAAAGCCCAATACTGTGAAATACACACACACACACACACCCAAAAAAAAAAAAGAGGAACAAAAATTATGAACTAAACCATCTACCTGCGGAAAAAGATTCAAAGGATCTGCATTGGGTCCACCTGCAGGAACAGGTGCTGGTTGTGCTGCTGGCTGAGGCTGAGCCGGTTGGTTTCCTGTCTGAGCACTGGGTGGACTTCCACCAACTGGAGGAACCTCTGCTGCCTCGGGAATACCCTATTGATTAGGATTTAAGACTTGATCAGCAATAGGGACAGCAGAAGGCTTCCAGGAAAGCTTAAAAGACTTTGGAGAGAAATGTAACCGTCTGATGTAAAACAAAATTAGGCACAAAAGAAACAACTATAGCAAACTAAACGTCTAAACCAAGAACTTTTTTATGACTACAAGATATATACACAACTACCTTTCTCCTAGCATTTTCAGACAATACTCTCTAACTAATTAGTAGTCACACTAACTCCACATGGTCAATTCCGGCAAGAAATGCACATGTGGAAGACAGATGTGCCACCACCCTACAGCCATTCTTTTCCACTCACTCACATATCTCCTAGACCTCATATGGGAGATGAAACTCTCCCACAAGAATAACGTGGAAGTTAAAAAACCACCACATCCCACAACGGCAAAGGCCCTCATGGCACCAGCATCCATGAAAATCACTGGTCCCAGAGATAATATTTTCAGAATACAGCTAATGAGAGGGAAAGGCATTTAGCAGCAGCAATTTACTTCCCAAAAATCGAAATTCTTGATCAATGGAGGAACAATATCACCATTTTTGTTCAATAAGATACCAAAGTGGGAAACGGGAAGAAGAGAGGATGAAGATGCCGGAGGTGGGAGGGGGATAGTTTACATTCTATGATAGGAAGCGAGAGGAATTAAGTCAAAAGGCTTGGACAGCTAACGGATGCATGCTAGAGAAAGGAGGGAGCCGCCAGAGAGGAGAGTGGACCTGTACTTGCGGAGCAGAGGCAGGAGCTAAACAGGGCTAATGTTTTTCCTTTTCTTAATAAACGGTGACTAATGCTTTTCAATGCCTATGTCATCATTTTACTACTTTGTGTGACTAGTCCAAAAGCTTTAGAGAGAGAGAATTTTATTTATGTTCTCAGGTGCAAGGCTGCAAGCAAGATACTTTTTCTTGGACTAAGCAGGTGAACATCGTTGGTGTAAGAATTTTTTTTGAGAGAATTTTTGTTGATGTATAACCGCGAGATTCGAAACCAGTACCATAAAAATTGCGTGAACCATCTAATTTAAAACCTTAAGCTGTTACAGATAACTGACTCCGAAGACTAGCCTTCAAATCATGTATCCTTGTCCCATTAAAAAGGGGGTTAGGTTCCACCAATACATTTTGAACACTATAATATTGGCAATTGGAGGACATAGACTGACAATATTATATAATATGAATGGCCAGAAATCCTTCTCACACTTTAGGTTGCACAAGCTGACCAGGACACCACCTTGTCCTTTTGTCAGAAAAATGGTCCTTCTGAAGCAAAACAGTCCAATTAATGTAGTATTATATTTTACTGTGCATTTAATTAGTTGGAACTCTGTATTTGGTTCATTTGCATTTAGGTTAGCACGTTTTGACACTGTTAAGGCCCTTCTCTGTAATGGATCTAAAAATTAGCTAACTCAACAAGTGAACAAGTACTTGCCTCCTGTGTCAGCTACTAGGAAAGGAATATCAGTACTTGTTCTATATTTGAACAAACAAGGAGCTCACGAAGAACGGGTCCACAGATGGCAAAAGCAAACAGTGACCCCAAAGCAATAGATGCACACAATTCATCAAAAAGGAGTCAACAAACTTACAGAGTACAAGTATTCAACAGCTCTCTCGGGATTGTTAAAAGCTGCCCGTAGAGCTCGAACAACTGTGTCCCTATCCCACGTTCCACCACCCATGTCAAGAATCTGCTGAATGGCTCCATCAAGGTTGTTACCAGCGACCAAGCTTGAAGCTGCTTGGCCATAGACATCGGATTCTGGCCTGGCCATATAAATAGATCATATACTTAGAAGGTCATCTAACAATTCAGCAGAAAATGCAAAAGGAAGAAATGTTTCTTGAAGAATATACTTACACAGCAGTTGATGCAGGAGCAGCAGCAGCAGCAGGGGCAGGGGCAGGAGCAGGAGCAGGGGCAGGGGCAGGCCTGAAACATAGAAAGCCATCACAAGGAAGGAGCTCTCATGAAATGTTCTCTCTTCCCCAGAAAAGTATGCAGAGAGAATTAAACCGCAAGGTGCTGGCAGCAAATAAAATGATTTGAAACGAACACTCTCCCAAATGTTAAACCTAAATTCTGATAAGCTTGAGCTTTTTATTTATATATTATTCTTCATTAAAGTATTTTGAAAATTTAGAAGAGAGTTTGAACTTCTTATCCTGTTTAATCATGAAACTGTAGAAAGTCTACATACTTCATAGTTAAATAGTGAGCATTACCTAGATGTCTAGGCTCATTAGCAATTTAAAAGTCTCATTGGGCCAAAATTAATACATCACAATGTTCAGTTAACCAAAATACTAGGGGCAAAACCCTGAATTGCATGGTCAAAGTAAAAATAACATGGAAACCACAAAAAAAAAAAAACTGGGAAAATATGGCATTGAAGGAAAGCTTACGAGGCAACTGGGACTTGAGTAGCTGTTGATGCAGGAGTTGAACTAGGAGCTGGGTTACTTGACTGCGGTACCTACAAGTCAAAAATCAGAGAAGGTTTTAACTGAAGTCTACTCATTAGAGCAGTAATGCCATCACAGTAAGTGTATGAATGTGCACATGCAGAAAGCAAGGGCTTTCACACTTCCCAGCAGATTTACCAAAAGGGGCTAGAAACACCTTGCTGATTGAAGTCGAAGTGTCCCCTCTAATCTATAGAACAGAAGTCATTCTTCAAGTTCCGGCTTATAAAGCCTAAACAGTCGAATTGTTTGCTCAGCTAGGACGAATAAAAGGGAAAACACTTTTCACTAGCAAAATGTTAATTACATAAAATGCTGCCAATGTTCCTTGGTGCAATCATTTACTAATGTTTGGTTGGCCTATATATAGAACACGTTGAAGAGAATGTTTTGCAGCATACGGAAGAAAACATTTTATGCCTTTTAAGGCCATAAATCATTTTCCTCCAACAACCACCTCAACCTGATTCATACTAACTGGTCTTTACTATTACACAAATACTCTTGTCTATCTTTGCTAATTGCAGTCACTGGAAAGGTATTTTCCCCTATGCTGCACCATCCACTTCTCCAACTATCATATGCAACCAGCTTTTATGCTCCACCAATTATATGGAAAATATATTTCATGAAAAGTATTTAACATCACACCAGACATATACTGACACAAGTGCTTCCAATACACCTTAATAGCGATTAGACTAGAGTAACAGCAAACTGAATTCATCAATTAACAAGATTTGTAGTCTGTTTAAAGTAACTATTCACTTTTAACAAATAAAATGAACTGCCTCTTTCAGTGAGTAGTGACTTTTTAATACAAACGCCACCGGCATTTATACTCAACCAAACATATGGATAGTATTTTTCATGAAAAATAGTTCACATTACACCAAGCACACTTGCATGCTTCCAAAGATATTTCGATACCAATTAGACTAAAGTCAATTGAATTCAACAATTAACTCAGGATTCTGTAGTCTTGTTTTAACTAATCATTTGTCTTTAGGAAACAAAATAGATTTAGGTGTGTTTGGCATGACGGAGAATATCCAAGAAACTATCTACAGAGAGCAAGTCTTTTGTGATGTTTGGTTGCATAGAAAATATTTTCAAAGAAAACATTTTCCACTAAAAGAGAAAAAGTGACTTCCATTACTAATGGACAGAAGTGGTTTTCCTTCACACTTTTATCAACTCTTAACTTCATATTACTTCTTTCCCAGAAAATATTCTCCAGACCCGATAAATGACCTATGATCCGGAAAATATTTTCCATCATACCAAACACGCAAGCAGCTATACATTAACCATTACCACCAAATCGTCACTACCACAACTATGACGAGGGTAGGATCTGTACAGGTAGGTCGGCAAACTGTCAGAAAATATGACCACATGCAGCTCTTGTATAATCAGTCAGTGATCAAATAGACCACAATAACGCACCAGACTTTGCATCACAAGACTACTGCAAAGAAAATCCCCAAGCGTATGCAAAACAAGTTGCTGCTACTAACCTTTTTTTGAGTAAGGTTGCAAAACAAATGCAAATGATGATTTTACTCTATCCTACTTCAATGCTAGCTTGGCAAATTCAGTAATCCACGTCTGATATATAAAACATAGTAAAACATCTCATAACATGGAAAGAGAAAGAGAATGTCTCTGATAAAGCATAAAAGAGATATAGATATATACGAAAGAAAATTGAGGAAAAGCATTTCTAATGTATGGTGCCTTTTTGGGATTGAATACCTATTTTCCACAGGTTGGAAGTAATCTGAACTTTGTCCCTTCCTCTATCTATTTGATACCACTATGTTGGATTTAAGCTTTACCAATCTTGGATTGAAAATGGGGATAAATACACTTCTAACTATTTCAAATAAACAACAAAAATGATATAAAGCTGCAAACCTTAGCTGTTGGTGCAGTTGATGTTGCTGAACCTTCCCCAGATGCGCTCTTACTCTAAAATTCCATGCAATAGAAGATAACAAATTAGAGTAAACACACAAATAAAAACAAAATATTAGTGCCAAATATTCTCTGTACATTGTAAATCTATTTGCTTTTTGACAGGCAAAAACCTATTAGACATATTTTTTACTAAAAGGAATTCCTATACATGGATTTGTTAGCAGGTATGCATCCGAAGGTGTGTATATATTCAATACAGCTACGTGCTGCTTTTGCTTATCTTAGAATATCTTGAAGAATCTGAAGCAATTACCAACGTCACTTGACACGGGTATTAAAGGCAAATAGCGCATCCGTGCAAGATAAGTAAAAACACAAAGTGATATACAATGAGCAGCGATAGAAAAGCATCCCTTCAGAACTACACACAATACCCCTGGTTTTTACTTCTGCAGGTCTTCGATGTGACTTACATTTACATGTGGAGCATGAGATAAACGCAAGAGTAAAGCAACCATTTGATAGAAGGAAACTAAATTGTACTCCATTGCAGAACAGAAAGCACAATAAAATGAAGGATAAGGTTCATCGATAAAAGGTTCTTATATACCACGATATCAATTACTCCATCGCCTTCATATTACCTGTTACTCTTGTAGAATTTATGTTTCAAAAAATGATAGGGACTATCATCAAGAACCAAATAAAACTTCTAATCAGCACAACAGATAATACTTCAATCACTCTTCAGGTTTTACAGCAGTTGTGCTGTCCTTAATATTTAAGTAAATTATATTGGCATGCTTTAGATGAATATCTACGCATCACTCAAACAAATTCACCCTGTTTCTCTTCAACCTCCTGCTAATCAAACTAAGAGCATTAAATAAATGACCAGAATTTGCATAGGTAAAAGGAGGACATTAAGATGATTAGTTACTCGAGAATGTCCTTGTATCTGATTTGGGATATTTTATACTGTCAACATCCTACTGTAGGTAAAACTGATTTTGTGTTACACGTGAATATGAATGCGGATTTACCAAGTGCGGGAGCAAGTTTACAACTCTGATACCATGAGAAATAATCTAAAGATCCAAGCCAGAGCCTTAAGACAATAAGTGGAGTCACACAAGACCTTTATACACATTTTCATGCTCTTATATGCCCGATACATTATGTAAGTCCAACAAATAGTTCAGCTCGAGCATATTATGGTTTCCAAGAAGAACACTATTTGACAGGAGCAACAACTCACTTTCCAAACACAATAGTTATAAGCAATTAACTAATACATTACCCAATAATCCATCTCCTGAAAGCCCCTAAACACATGTTGTAGAACCCAACATATCCAACATGCTGTCTATATTCACACACTCCAAACTATACCAATAGCACATAAAATTAGAAGTGAAAAGAAAAAGTATTTACCTTCGTTAGCATGATTACTATAAAGTTGTTTTCAGCAACCTTGTTTTCTTCCAATGTCGTCCCATCTTTAAGGACCTTTCCCTGGTGGATAAGCATCTGTTGGCCAGCAGGATAAACATCTGAACCCTGAACTGTTTCTATGTTCTTCTTCACATCGGCAACCTAAAGAATGCAGAAAATTCAGCAAAAAATTATTTTTTCTAGCCTTTGTGTAAAGTGGGTGCATGGTCTGACATCCAACTGCAAAAGGATTTCAAAAGCTAAAATCTCTTGATAAGTGCAATCCAGCTAAAATCTTTGTCCTGGAAAGAGTGCGACCAAATATAATAGAGCATCACAAATGCCAAAGCCAAGCAACGGTATGACCTCTGAAATGTCACAGGCTCACTGCCTTGAATACTTCTGCTTATTTTTCATTCTATTTTTGTTATTATATCTTTTATTTGGATTCCATCCTCTAGCTCATTGGCGATGCCATAACTGCATACAAACTTGTACATAGTTATCTTCTTGCTGAATTTATAAATCAAAATGTATCCTGCTATTCGTACATGTTAATGGGACACTTTTATGTTAAGCCTATAAATTTGTCCAAAGCTTTAACTTTTGATTTGGCATCAAGAGCAACTATGACAGCTCCAATTTGACACCCACCACCAAAAGTCTCACCTGTAACCACCAACTCTGTTTCTCTCTCACCTACTAATTTTTTTGGGTGGGTAGGGGTGGGGATATTTAAGGGTCTCCCTCACCAACTGTTTGAACCATGCTCATCAGTATATCACTGACAAACTGAACAAGAATAATTCTCAGAATTTACAAAACCAATGTCTTGACTTCCTTAGACATAAAATATCATTGAGTTATGTTGATGGAGGCAAGCCATGTCCACCTCACAGACTTCAGGAAGGAGAAGAGATACCTCAAGAAGGAACAATACCAACAAATATTTTTTTTTTTTGATTTGCACCGGGTGTCCAAGTCTCTTAGAGCCCCAACTAATCCCGGGGGTGCACAGGCCCTCGGCAAGGAGTTTCCCGCAAGTGCACCACGGTTAATTCAGGTTTTACCCAGTCCGATGGCCCTCAGAAATTGTTTGCACCCAGTGGGTTTCGAACTTGAGACCTTGAAAGGGAGCAAACCCCAAGGCTCAAGTCAATTGCCACCAGGCCAACCCCTGAGGGTTAATACCAACAAATATTCTCACGGCATATATTTTCACAAAAGTGATTCTAGTAACCATATACAAACAATGATAGGAAAAAGGTAACAGCTATGAACTATCTACAAGTTTATATACAATTCGAAGACAACCAGTAAGCTAAAGGTTAGAAACTAGACAATACTGAAAATATAGCAGTATTTCTCCACCAAATTAAAACAGTGAGAAACTAGTCAAAAGTACGCCTGACAAAGACCAGACATGAGAGTGCAGGAACATGCCAATCTTAACCGGTCTTAATTCCTCAAGAAAAACTTTCTTGCAAACTTGATTGAAGAGAATTCATCTTAACATACATATATGTAAAATAATTGGTGGATTGATACCACCTAACCAATTCAAAATAAAATAAATAAGTTAATTTGGTTGAATGGTAAGTGATTATATTTTCAAAGCCTTCTTCTGCTCTATAGAGCTCGGAGTACATAAGAAACACACCACTTCAATAATTGTATAACTGAAAAATGTTACACATCGTAGAACCAATGGTGGCTCCCATATTTTTAAAGCTACAAGTTAAGTCTTCAGTTTGTTACCTAACACAGTCATACCAGTCTACTGAAACACTGTGATTCTAGAAAACCCGCAGGAAGCAATTGAAAATTAAAGAAGACAAAAACTCAAAATTAATGAAGGCAAGTTAGACAAATTGTTCCAATTTTGCAGCTTCCACAGGATGTCATGCAACTTCAACTATAATTAGCAAAAAAAATGAACCATCCTATCCATGTCAGTCATTGGTTTAATACATCAAGTCAACCTAACAACTTAGTTCCATACTAATGAGAGTCAGTTATAATGAAACTCTGCTCCAGGGCCGGCTTTTCGGTAAAGCCTCTAAAGCCCAAGCTTTAGGCCCCCAATTTTAGGGGTCCCCATTTTTACCCTATAATTTTTTTTAATTAAGTATTTTTACTCTTATTACATATTCTGGTAAAAAATAAAAAAATAAAAAGATATTTATGTTTCTTAAAAATTGGCTCCTAACATATAAATGCAAAATTTATGGAAGGAATCAAGTGATTATTCTTGTTTCTTTAGTCTTTTTCTCATTAAATACTATGTAAACCTTTTCTACTTCCTTTCTTGGTTTGCACAATATTCAATTTCCTTTTTTAATCTTTCTCAGTTCTCACCAAACATTACTACTATTATATTTTTTCTTTGTGCCTCCAAGAGATCATATTGTTCAGTATTTTTCGTCAATCAAGCTAAAGCCTACCAGAAGTATATCGAAAGCAACAAATATTTATTTTCACATCAAATTAATGAATCGGGTTCTTCTATTCCAACTTTTTAGTACTAGTTTTCATCTACGTTTGTTTTTCTTGATATTTTCAATACGTACGCATATATTATCATTTTAGTATTTATTAAAATTCAAAATATGCCAAATATAAAGTATAAATTCGGTTATTCAAAACTTAAGGAAAAAAAGTTAAATCTTTGATACAATCCCAAAAAGAAGAAATGATAGTACTCTAATTGATATACTCAATCCAATAAAAAGGCTTGATTCTTTTTCAAATGCTTATATTGCATATAGAATAATGGTAACAATTCCTGTAACACTTGTCTCGGGTCGTCCAGAAGTTTTTAAATTAAAATTGATAAAATCTTACTTAAGATCAACCATGCCGCAAGAGATTAAATGGATTAACTATATTATCAATTGAATAACTATTAGAAGAAATTGATTATAGAATACATATTCATAATTTTGCATCTGAAAAAGCTAGAAAATTGTATTTCAAATAAATAATATATATGAAAGCTTTATTTTATTATAAAAAATAATTAAAGGCCTCTTATGGAAGTTTGGCTTTAGGCCCCTGTATTGAGTCGTCCCTGCTATGCTCTATAATATAGAGGATTCATAACAGTAAATCAATTCAACCCAACCTCAATTCAATCCCAAACTAACTGCAGACCGCTATATGAATCTTCTGTAACCATTCCTCTCTAATGTTTAGTGTTCAAATGATCCCTTAGTTTGACGATTTAAACCCTAAACTTTACTAAACTAACAGAATCTACTATTTAATCCGAATTAAAAAAAATCAGAAACTCTAAGCACACAAAACTCAAACAGAATCCACTATTTAATCCGAATTAAACACAAAATCAGAAACTCTAAGCACACAAAACTCAAACAAATCCTAAACCGCTTTTAAAAAAAGCTAAAAATTCTCCAAAATTGGAATGTAAAATCGACGAATTTACATGACAAAACCAACTCAATTACTCATAAATAACAATAATCACATCTATGCATCATAAATTATTTCAACAAATCCAAAATATCATCAATTCGACCAAAATATTAAGCAAAAAAAAAAGGTAAAATAAAGTGAACTTAAATAATATCGATTGACAAAAATTACGGACCGTGTCTTCAGGTTTGACTTCGATTTCAAAGTGAGAGCCTTTAAGAGTTTTTACAAAAATCTTCATATTTGCTCCGTCGCCGGAATATTTGATCGCCGAAGAATGTAGAACACCGTAGGGTACAAGTAAAGGTAAATAAAAATAGTGTTGCTTTTTATGCTTATAATCGCCGTTTTGTACGTATAAACTAAGAGGTGAGAGTTGGAGAGTTTCACGCGTGTACGAAGTGAGTGTGAAGCACGCTATTTGGAGTTATGTTGTTAGGATGGCGCGTGAGGTGAAAGGTGAAGGAGAGAAGGTTGGAGTAGGTTGAGAAGAGTGAAGTAAGGAAAGGATCACAGCCAGCTAGATTTTTGTGTCACAAAGAAGGAAGGGTTTATAGGGATATTTATCTCATTGTACTAGGGGGTGGGTAGTCTCACTTGGAATGTATATTCAAATTAAATATTTCAATATCTCACTTAAAATTCAAATACAAAAAATATTTGCAAATACTCGTTGTCAAATTAGTAATCGTAAATATAAAAGTTGAGTATTTAAAAATAGAGTTGCTAAAGAAAATATAATTCAATTTAATTATCAAAATATATTTTTTATGTTGTATGATATATCTATTTGTTGAATAATAACATTCGTATTAATACTTATCATTGGTTGTATCATAACACACGTATTAATACTCCTATCCTTATCCATGAAATTTAGGATTTAAGTGATGGCGAAATGAATTTCTAGATCCGCACTCATGTCGGACATCAATATTTGTATCCAAACAACATAGATCCAATCTCTCACAAAATTATGAGGAAAAAGTGAATTTAATTATAGCAGCAGATTATGATAACTAACATGAAAGATTAAATAATTTTGTATTTTGTATTTGCTTGATGAGTTTAGAGGTCATTAAAATTGTAACTAAGCGAGTATGATAAACTATATGATATGAAGTGAGAATTTTAAAATCAAAAAAGTGAAAATTGAAATTGAAACAAGAGTAAGTGACAAAGGCACAATTTGAACTACGTTAGGTTGTGGGCAGAGGAAAGGAGGGTTTTGGTACTTCAATGATAACCAAGATACGGCATACTAAAAGAGCAAAGTAAAAGGTATGTGCTTTTAGCAAGTAAAGAATATCCCTTCTTTCCTTGTTTGTTATTGACTTTTTATATCTGAATATTAAGAAATAAAAAGAGAGTGTTATAAAACAGTAAAAGAAGAAAGAAGAGTATTGCAGAGAAAAGAGAGAGAATTCTTATTGATTTTGGATGATTTATAATGAAATAGAACCCTCTATTTATAGGGAGATGGTGACTTAGCCACCAAGCAATGAACCCTAAAATCTCTCTAAATATAGACATTCACCATAAAAAAAATTTTATTTATAACACTTCCCCTTGAATGTCTATTCAACAGATAATGTGTCTCGTTAAAACCTTAACTAAAATAAAACCCAATGGAAAAAAATTCTAGAGAAAGAAAAAGAGTACACATATCTAACAGTACGCCTTTCGGTTGCCTCGTTAAAAACCTTGCAAGGAAAACCCAGTGGGACAAAACCTTGTAAGGGAAAAAGAGTATAACGCGTATTAACTCCCCCTGATGAGAGCATCAATTCACATCCTTAAGCATTTGCATTCCAATCTTGTGCACCATCTTCAAAAGATCTTTGGTAGATATTTGATAAACAAATCAGTCATATTAACTTGAATGAATATATTGCACCTTGAAATCATCATTCTTAATAGAGATGGATTGTCTTCATATGATCTTGTTGGAATCGTCAGTTCAATATCTTCACATAGAGGTGAAAACTCTTGCTATCATATTATCATGCATATAGTTATAGCAAGATACAGTTGTGCACAAATTGCATTGAGGATGTAGTACTTCATGACCATGAATTCTATATGCTTTAAGCAATTTAAATCCTTCAGGGATTGTTTAGTCATATAAGCCATATAATAGACTTTAGATGCATATCAAGTTTTCATGTCATGCTAGACATATAAGATATCGAAAACTGATTGCACATACCATTGACTTTATACTTTCAAGTGTTTGAACTACATGCATGTTCAAAACTACATGTCTTTCATATGAAACCAATTCTATTCGAAATTGTTTCACCAGACTTAAGATCCTCATATATATTTAGCGGTATCATAGATGTCGTCGACGAACATTTTATATCGGTTTCAACATTTTTAATAAAGACATAACATAGAGATCTCTTCATTCATTTCAGGTACCTAAACCTCTATTGAGATTTTATGAAGCATTATGTCATGTGATCTTCTAGATCACTTGTCTCCTTTATTATGATCATTTTGATCATTTGTTCATCTTCTTTATCAAGAAGTTTATTTGAAACCGATTTGTCTATATGCTTTAAGCGTACAATAGACTTTGTCCTTCTAGGACTTAATAAGAGCATTTGCAACGAGAATATAGTTACTTTCTTTGGGTCAGCAAATGCATTTGGCATGCTTTGCAATATATTGCAAATGAATTATCTTTTTATGAACTTCAAGTTCATATTATCTTATTCGAGGATCGAGATGTATAAATAATAATTCATTACATGTAACTTTTTCTCAACTGTTTATCATGTCTCCCCCTCATGTTAGAAAACTAACTTGTTTCCTCAACTTTGAGAACCCATCTTTGTGCGTTATGGTGTTAATCATAATATACACCGCACATCAATAATAATAAGATGGAATTATTTGGTTCCTGACCCTGAACCACTTGTGAGGGGAGAAAATAATATACTTTCATATATACGTATATCAAACTGATATATATAACTTTGTTCTCATAAGCAATAGTTTAGCTATTAAGTGGAGGCACTCAATAAATTATTTTACTAAACCAACTGTGATGTAAACCAACTTATCAAGAAGAACTATCTTGAATAAAAAATCTAGAAATTATGCTCTATATTAAATTATTGAGCAAGTTACCTCGCAAACACCAGGTTGCGGGTCAATAATAATTGCACATGTAACCATCTCATAGATGCATCTTATGTGGTATACATGGCAGGTGAATGGGCCCATATTCACCTTTGATATTTCCAGCATTCATGGATTCAATCCCAATTTTAGTTGGTATGTTAATTAATGAGAACAGGCAACATAAGAGAATTTGTAAAAACTTTCTAGTTCTTTAATATTTACCCATCTGAATTCTCTTTTATTTTTGCACATCATACTTAAATTGATATGGCTAAACCAATTATGCCAACTGAATAAATTATCAATATTGATAAACTTCAGATTTACACCATGACGTGTGCAATTATTAATAAACTCCAAGTTTATTATGATATGGATTTTTATATTAATAAACTTCTCTTTATTGTGGCATTCTTTTGTTTGTGTAGTACAAACTGGAGAATAATGCGGGTAGTTTTTTGCATACATATTGCCCCGCTACAAGTTGTAGTAATAGAAAATATTAAATCTTTCCTTTATTTATTGTCTCAGTATGACCAACCGCATTCGCGAATACTTTAGAAACTCAATAAGTTTCTTTGAGACTTACTACAACACAACGTCTTATTGATAATCAATTTTCTCCAAAATAGTATAATTGGCTCTTCTAGAGCTCTCAATTAATTTTGTACTACCACATATTCATCAACATCCATATGATGAATATCTCTTTTAAAGAGAAAGTTATACCATTATGGTTATGGTCAAAAGTATATACAAGATGATATGTTTCTTGCATTAATGGTATTCTTTAATAATCACATTACCAAAATATTTTGGCGTGCAATAGTATACGTGACCAATGACCATTCATGCCATAATAATGACATTATTTTCTTATATCATCTCAAACCTCCTTCTAGAGGTGAGTGTGGTATATTCACTACCACTAGCACATTCATATTCTTACAAGAATGAATATGTATTCATAAATCAGATGTTGTCGCATTAACATCATGAATGGACCATAATCATCTATATGTGCTTTATAAAACCTCATGTCAAATCGATGACAAATATTAATTTCACAGAGTGAAGGATTATTTGAGAATCCTTATTATTCTCATTATCACAATAATGACGATTATAATTTCGTCGATTGCCACGTCCACATCCATTGATACATTCATAGTAATAATTTTATCTTCTTTCAGACTTATCACATACTGCTATCACATTCTCTTAAGGAAATGAGAATGGGGCAAATTCAATGGGACGGGTTTCCACTTTTTGTGCCCATAATCATTACATACTTTGTTGTCTTTTCTTGTATATAAAATCAAATTATAGAATTTCAAGAATTTAAAAGAGAAAAATAAAGTAAAATACTTACCTTAAATCCAGAATTTAATCATGAAGGAAGTTCATGGAATAATTGACAATCATTATGCTCAATCCCAAAGCTTTTACTCAATTGGTTAGAGTCTCGTGCTGATAAACGTGTTATAAAACAGTAAAAGAAGAAGAAGAGTATTGCAGAGAAAAGTAGAGAGAGAGAATTCTTATTGATTTTGGATGATTTACAATGGAATAGAACCCTCTATTTATAGGGAGATGGTGACTTAGCCACCAAGCAATGAACCCTAAAATCTCTCTAAATATAAATATTTACCATAAATAAAATTCTATTTATAACGGAGAGATGTTTATAGAATGAGAGAATTAACGGTTATATGACATCACAAATTAAGAATTTGTCACTTATTTATGGAGATTTACTCCTCACTAAGATACACAAATGAAACGAAGGAACTTATATCTTTATACTCAGTTTGAAAATGATATGGTGTTACTTTGGTTTATTTTGTCACAAAACACGCATATAATCCAAAAACAGAAAAAGAATGTAAAACAACATAGGGGAATTGCCTTGCTCTTTGGTGGGCTAAAGAATCAAAGTGCGATTTAAACTTTGAGCTGACAATCAATTAAAGAGAATTTTTCAGAAACCATTATTGTTTAGTGGCTATTAACTTGCTATAGCTATCATTTACTTAATTATACAGTAGCAAAACTCGGCGGAAAAAAAAGTCTAGCTAAACATAGACTGTATTCATCTATATTCGCGAGCTGTATTCGCGAATATAGTAACAGAAATCTGCGGAAAAAAAGGTCTCTTCAGCTGTTTAAAAACAGTAAGTGAATCAATTAACGCGACAGACTCCTAATATAACTCAACAAACTCAATTATAACACACAAAATTTGTATTTTCAGTTGTAGAAAAGATTCCCAGCCGAAAAACACCCCACAACAGAGCAATCTTCAGAGATTCAATCCATCCTTTCTTTTTTTAATGGTATCTTTACTAAAATATTTTTGAGTGATATCTTTACAAATAGAT